AATAAAAAAAAACCAAAAACTCCTCTTTAAGCTCAGCAATTGCTGGAGAAATAAATTAAATTTAACTTGCATTTTCCCCGCCGCCGCGAAGGGCCCAAGTAGTTCTCGTTCTCCTACTTGGCATTGCATGTATACGTATCTTACAGATACTTGGTTCTGCCCTGAGTTCTGCAGCTCCGCTCGAGCGCGTTCTGCCATATGCAAATTAAAATTAAAAGCCTTTTTGTACTGCTTAACTTTATACTCTGAACACCCCAACACCCTCCTTCCCCTGCTTCCCCCCGCCGCAGCCACTCGAGGAGGATCTGGAGTTGGTCATGGACTTGGACTTGGACGTGGACTTGGTCTTGGACTTGGTCTGCGTTGGTCTTCGCCTTGCTCTTGGACTTGCTCCGTGGGTCTGCGGCTGGTCTCGACTCTTGCCTATGACTTTACAATTTGTTTGGCCTGCTGCGGCCGCCGATAGGCCCTCTGAAGTGTGAAACATGGCTTCACACAAATGTACAGCGAGAGAAATGTAACAAATAATAGTTCCATAGTTCAGCATTTAGGTCTAAAATCAATTGATTAACAGCACACATTTCATCTTTCATCATTACTCACACGTTTAAATTCCAGCACACATAGTTTGTAAGGCATTCAAAGAATTTCTGGGCTAGGTGGAAAATAAATTTCGGAAATTTAGTTACAGTTTATCTATGCCAATTTCTTAAACACTTATACTTTTATTTGATTTCGATTTTATTTGCTTAGCTTAAGTTAAGTAAACACGTGAGAAAGTTAAGTAAACAAGTAAATTTTATAATTACAATTGTTAACTGATTTAGATTTTAATAAATTATTTTAGGCAAACAAATTATTATTGCCTTTAGAAATATTTATACCGCAGAAAATACTGTCGTTTAGTTAAAAAAAAATATTGAATTTTGTTTTAAAAAGCTAAAATGGTGGTTTTTTGCTGATTTTTTCTGGCTGTGTAGACACACAAATAAAGATTCAGACACACAGATACAACTCAGCACAAAATGACTGCGGACGAGGCTTCGTCTTCGTCTTCGTCTTGTCATTCCAGCGCCCCACCTCCCCACCTCCTCCTCACCAACGCCACCGCCACCACCACCAACAACAACAATAATAATATCAACAACAACAATAACTATAACAACAACAAAGTCCGCTGGCCAACTCTGACTACATTGGTTTGGTTTGGTTTGGTTTGCTTTGGTTTGGCTTGGCGCTCTGAACTGCGCTGAACTTCTTGAAGCGGAAGTTCAAGGCGTTCACTCAATTGTATCGTGTAATGAAATGTTTTATAACACCAAAACAGACACCAAAACACCAGCCGGCACTTGGGCCGGACTCCGAACTTGGCCTTCTTTAGATCCGAGACCCGAGAGCCGAGATTCTATCAATCCAGCATTTTATTCCGCCGCTGCGCTCTGTGGGTCATTGGCTTCTGCCACTGCCGCTGCCACTCAACTCGCCCTTAATCGTCAGCGGTTTGATGGCTCATTAGCATTAATATATGTAATATTTATGCAAATATTTACTCGCACATCCAGCACGCGGACCAACTTCTGTTTCTGTTGGCCCGTTCACATCATTTGTCATAGGGCAGCCAATCAGTTTATAGCAGCTAATTATGCGCCAATAATTAAACTGAAGCAGCAAGTCTAAGGAAATCGAAGGTAGCTTTAAGGGCGAAGGTTGGGATACTCTATAAGTAGGTATTTAAAATTTCTTTGCAATTCCCTAACTTTTTATTTGACCCTGCTCTATCATCTATCGAACCTTAAAACTAATGGTTTTAACTAATAACAATTTTTGAAGGGTGCGGAAAAGACTATCCTATATCCTCGAATAGGTATTTTACAATTGTAACTTCGATAAGCAAACAGTTTACAGCTCTAGTTCCCTTTAGATATGTTGTGTGGGAGGCGAAGCCCTAATCTTAGCTCATGTACCCTCAGCAGAACAGTCTGTCAAGAAGAAATCTTCTATATCGCTGGAGTTGAAGTGACAGCCAGCTCCAGTAAAGCTGACTTAACTCTCCCAAGGTTGTAGACCTTCGCAGAGCGAATACCAGAAAAGAACCAGAATAACAGCGCGAAGGGGGAGTTCGCTTGAGGAAGGGGCTTTGAAGATGGAGGAGTAGGAAGAACAAAAACGAAATGATAAAGTATTCCAACGGCCGGGCCAGACACACACAAAAATTGACGTAACTTATTCGCATTTATATCACTCCTCTCATCGGGAGAGCCTTACCGCCGATACAATGCCGCGGCATCGGACATGGCCGCAGATTCAGATACAGATACCATCATCAGTGTCGGCTCACGCAACAACCATAAACAACAACTACGGGCTGGCGCGTCAAAATTAATACGTTTTTAAATGCCAAAGCCACGCAGCTTCCTGTAGACAAGGAGAGCGAGGGATAACCGAAAGACAGAGAAGGGGAGAGACCCCCAACCCCCCATCCCAGACCCCAAGATCCAAAAACAATCTTCAGGTCTCCAGTTGGCCCAGCTACGAAGTTACCAAAGTCTTACGCACATGCGTGTAATTGTTTTTATTCTGCCTGACTCCGGTTTCCAGGTCGCGCTCAACTCAAGACCATCATATTTTGGAGGGGGCAGTTTGAAGAGTTTCGCGTAGAACTCAATGCAAATTTTAAGATATAAGTACAGAATTTGTTTTCCAACTTAGCAAATTTCTGCCAACATAAACTTAACTACCATCTCCGTCCGAATTAGGAGTAGTTAAAATATTTGTTACATTCAAATTTACAGAGCATTCCGTAATCATTTTAGAATTCTCAAAATAAGTTTCATAACATTTCAAAAACTATGTTTGTGTCACATAAAATCGCTTGAAAAAATGAGTACAGTTATTATAAAATGAAAATAATAAGTACATTGGGAAATGAATATAAAAAATATTTAATACGTTTTATAACATTTCAAAAACTATGTTTGTGTCACATAAAATCGGTTGAAAACCTAAGTTCAGTTATTATAAAATGAGAATAATAAATTCATTTTATACTTAGTGCTCACCATTTTATAAACCAACAATACTTGCACTCTTTCTTCATTATTATGATATATCTTCTTTCTGTTGATCTTGTTGGATTTCTTCGTCGTAAACTCTTCTTCAAGCCCTCGCAAATTAATGATGCTTGGACCAGAGAGCCCAAAACCGAACCCTCTACGGAAAAGCAAAACCGAAATGTAAATTGAATTTTAAAAGGCAATTTAACGTGCGCGCTTGGGCCGACTGCGGCCATAATTAAAAATTATCTTCAATTTAACACTCGACAGGGCAGAAATGCTTCAATTTCTGATCTACGCAATTTATTCATTATTTTTTGCCCTAGCCTTTTGTTTTTCTTTGCACGGAATTTATTTTTTCTTTATTAATGCCATACCCAGGGCAAATATGAGTTATGTGCTGCATTTGGAATTATGCGACCCCGATTCCCGTGTTGATTTATTGGCATTTGAGATAAACCAGCAAATTGCATTAAAATTAATGCCAAATTAATTAGCTGCAAAAGGAAAATAAGGGAAAGGAGGAGTTGCAAAATCATTCAGAATAATTCCGCCCGCCAACTGCTGCATTTAGTGGATTTTAATTGCATTTCTGTTCCGGCACTCAAGTGGAAAATATTTTTGGTCCAACTGAGACGAATCTCCATTGGGGATTATCTCAGAATTAAGTCGGCAAGGTAATTTATTTTTGGACAAATACAAGTTTTCTGTTAAGAACATTTCCGCAGCTATTCCATCGTCAAATTCCTTTAAATGTTCTAGTATTTATACGGAATTTAATTGTTTGTCAAGTGCGAAATTCATAAGCCCTTGTATGTTGCTGCTTCACGGCAGTCAATCGAAAAATGCATTTTAATCTCGTCTCTCAATTACAACTTTGTTTTGCTATGCGAACTGTTTTCAATTTACATAAATCAAGTTGATTCGACCTAAGCCAACCAATGCCCACGTGCATCAATTGTACACATATTTCATTCTACACAATCAGTGATACAGTGCGGTACAAAATTATTTGTTTTATAAATTAGTTTTTTTAAAATTGCAAGACATTTAAAGTCGATGCTTGCGTTGAAGTTTTCTATGTTCATTTTAAGCAAAGTTATAACTGAAGTTATAGCTGAAAACTAAAGATACATTTACACTCATCAACCGACTTATGCTTATGTATCGCACCTTCCGTGCCGCATCGACAGCTGGCGAATAAATGTTGTGCATAAAATTTTACGCCTTTTTTATGATTAATTCGCTGTCATTTAATTGCCACAAAATGCGACAAAAACAGATAAAATGCCAACAAAAATGTTAAACAAAAAATATTCGCCGCTATATTTGCATATTTTGCAAAAAGCTTTGCCCAATTGGCTTTTGAATATTCGAGAGTTGGCCAAAACATAAATCGATGAAAACGCAGCAACAGAAATAAATAAAGAGCGGCAGTTTATGCAAATGTTGCACGCGTTTGTTGATATTTGTTTGGAGAGATTTTGGAGGCCCGTCACCCTCCTTTGAAAAGAGTTTTAAACGGCAAGCATCATCATTTAGTTAGTGCAGTCGTAAAATCCCAGAGACTTTAATTGATTTGCCCCACTCGAGCATGCCGAGCACGTTTCGCTGGGCTACCATGTCGTATGGGTAATATATATTGGGCTGCCGTGAGTGAGTGTGAGTGTGTAAATATACACAATTAAATAATTGAAAGATGCTGATTAGATAGCATTACACCCGAAGTACGAGCAGTTTGAGGAAGGCAAATGGGGGTGCAAATGAGATGCAAAACAATCCAATTTAATTGCAAATTTAAATTGGAATTAAGGCAAATTTACTTCAAAGTCCCAAAGGGAATAAAAGTAAGAGGGAAATATTAATGAGGACTTTATTTAATCATAGCTTAAAGTTTTTTTTTGGAATAGCACAGCCTGGAAAACCAATATCATATTATCAACTCACTTTGTCAAGTTCCGATGTTTTCCTTATTTTGAAATTGTCTTTCAATCTGTTGTGATTGTTTCCACTTGATGAACGTAAATTGTAATTAACAATGCAAAATATCGACACAAAAACGAAACCGGCTTCAAAGTAAAAGACACAAATATTCAATAAAACACATTAATATTTATAAGGGAAATTTCCTTATTTTTGGTTACACACTTTCATTCAAAAACACAAGCACAAATATTTATGGAAATTAAAACCAATTTGTATGGTTTTTGGTTGGGAACTAAATCCTTGTTTATGTGAAAAATACTGCAAATAAAGAAAGAAATAAAAAATTAACGAAGAGTAATGAAATTAATAACAAAATATTGTTATATAAGGAAAACAATTGCAATAGCTCTAAAACAAATTTTTAATATAAGATTATGCTTGTTGGATTATAAGCCAAATTATTTTAAATTCGAGTTTTTTGGAGAATTACAAAATCTGTCTAAAAGTTCTGAGAACAAATGATACGCAACTTTAAAAACAAATTCTTAGACCAAAGCTATGCCCGTTAAATAATCAAGAAAAATTACATGATAGAAGTCGTTGATGATAGAAATTAAATTTCTTAAAGAACTAAAGCCTAGCCGTATAAATTATGAAAAAATCTGCCGGCAAGCAAATGTCTGCAAATTTTCCTTTCTACTTGCCTTCCCCTCCGCCCCCTGCTTCCGCAGTCCCCCTAATTCCGCGCTGGATTCTGGAGGGATTAAGGCTTTATCAAGGGCTGGAGAGAGTGCGCAGGGGGACACTGGCTACTAAAACTGTCTCAAGTTAATCGCTTTTATTTATTTTCGCCCTGTGCCAAGCGAAAAAAGCCAAACACACGCACACACACACAGCGAGTGGGAACCTTAACTGCAACCGGTTTTTCCACTCGCACACACAGGGACTTTTTTCTTTTCTTTTTTTTTTTGCGCGCTTTTAGCTATTTTCTTCTTTTTAATATAAACTTTTTTCGTTTGTTTGCTGTTGAAGAATTTATGAAAATCATAAAACAAAAGCGAATTTCATTCCACATGTGCATTAGTGTGTGTGTTTAGTCTGGGCTTAGTGGGCGCGTGTGTTGGTGAGCGCTTAGGTTGCAGTTGCAACAGATAGACACCACAAGCTTTCATGTCTAGCCAGGTAGCTAAGGTAGCTGCTCTTGGCCAGGTTAACACGCCAGGCCTGGCGACGTCATAAAGTCAGCTGCCGCTTCTGTTTTCTTTTGTTGTGACTTGCTGCCAGCCTTTTGTTGCCAGTTGTTGCTGCTGCTGTCGCTAGATGTTGCTGCTGTTGCTGCTGTTGCTGCTGTTGTTGCTGTTGTTGCTGCAGCAGCAACTATTCGGTTGACAGAGGCTGCGAGCCAGCTTTCAAGGCTGTTTAGAAGGCAGCCATCTCACACACACACACTCGGCCACACTGGCATTAATTTCTCTTGCGATCAAACACTTGTATTATTTGCCCAAAAATGTCTCGCAAAATATGTATATATTTCAAAAAACAGGCTACCGTCTATACTTAATTCAACAATTTTGTTGTGCTTTCTGTTTTTGGGTTCAAATTACCGTTTCAATGTGCGGGTGTAAAACGTGTTTTGATTTTGTTGCTGCTGCTGCTGCCGCTACCGCTACTGCAAGTGATGTTGCTGCTGTAGCTATTGCTGCTGCTGCTGCTGCTGCTCCGAGTGATATTGCTGCTTCTTTGGGTTTTCAGTTTTCAGTAGCGCGGACACGAATTGAGAGATTTGGATTGAGGATAGGGAAAACCAACACGCAAAGAAACGCAGCGTCGTATTCGACTTTTTCGTTCGGCTGGCAAAGCTCAACTGAAATGCCAAACAAAAACGCTCGCGACTGAAGCGTTGTTGGCCAAGTATAAGAGGAAGAGTTGGCCACGAACTGGTTTTCGTGCATCGCCGGCATGGCCCGAAGTCGAAGGCTTCGGCTTTGGGCCCCCTTTTGCCCACCAAGCCCATCAAGTCCACCAAGCCCCCAGCTGTTGCTCTTTTGGCCACGAATAGTAGTAGAAAAGCGTAGTAGATTTGGTTAAAAGTGGCCTAGAGCCAAAAATCCAAGGCAGTTCGCTAGTGTGGCCACAGCCAAACAAATAAAGGCAATTAGCTCCGTACTCCCATGTCCAAATTCTTCCCAAATCCCTTCAGATGACTTGGCCTTTTCCAAGCCTCTCTTTGCCTCTTGGTCCGCTCTCTTAGCTGGAAAACGCAGCCGCTCTTCGACGGAAGTAAAACTGCATCAGCCGGTTTGTTTACCTTTTTTACGTGTCATACTGTTATACCGGCTGAACAGCTGTGACTTGGCCAACACACACTCTCTCAACTTCCGTGGTGGCTTGCGAGCTGCCTTTCTCAGTAAGTGGGTGGTTGCCATGGCGTGTTGATAAATAAGCAAATAAATAAATAAACAGTTTCAAGTGTTTGCCCAAATTGAGTCAAATTTTCACTCTTCTCGATTGCAGTTGCTGGCGGGGAAATAAATCGAAATAGTTTTAGCCCGATTGATGACTTCATTAAGTGCAATTGCAACAATTAGCCAAAGTTTGGCCCCTCGAAACACTTGGCTTGATTGGTTCCTGCTTTTTGGGGGTGAGCATTTAAAGTGGTTATTGATTTACAATTTTTCAAATAGTATAAGTTTTCGTTCCATTAAGAGAGGAATGTTTTAAAGTCTGTCATTAATAGCATGTCAAATGGTGAAATCTATGAAGTATTTTCGTATGAAAATCAAAACTTATTCAGAACAACATATAATTCATTTAAAATTTTTTTATATTTTCCATAAATATTAAGTGATTTAAATGAAATGTGTTCGCTTAGGCGAACATCCTTTAAATTCAACAGTTTACATGCTCTGAAACGAAGATGTTAAAAATTTATATAACTTTTTTATATTTCCTTAAATGATAAATTAATATTAAAAAGCTTAGATATGTAATTGAGTTTCTTTAAACAAATGTATTATTTTTCGCATATGGTTAAAAACGTGACATTATAACTTAGGAGTCAGAAAACTGGAGGACATATAAACAGAAATTGTTTTGGAAAAATGCTAGTTAGCGCCTTTGTTAAAATGCAACAAATACATCTTGTGCCTTGGGATTAATCAACAGGTATTTGGTTAAGTCACATACTGTCGTTTAATATTCACCTTGATTAATTCGAAGTCCCTAGGCGAAGTATTCCAGCTGGAAATAAACTAGATCTATAGGTTGAGCGATGTGGATTACCCTACATTAAATCAATGAAAATCGATTCAGTTAATTGAATCGCTTAATCTAAGACAAGCATTGGTCTGACCCACTGCAAAAGTGACAGATAAACACATTCCCCCTGCTTTCAAATCGCTGGCCTCAATTATTTTCACAAATTGTAATTACTTCATCGAAACAATTGAATTGTTTTCCGGCTACTGTTGGCCCCACTCCCCACTGAATGCCTCCACACCCAAAAATAAATATGGTATTGAACACGGTTCGATTGTGAACCTTTTTCTTAGCCATTTTGGTGATTTCATAACTTTATTAATTCATTTGTTCATTGTTTCCTTTGATAGCTTTTCCCCCGTTGTTTACTGGTGGCAATTCAAGCGCGACAAAAGACAAGAAGCCAAAGTTGATGCCGAAGTCGAAGCCAACCACCAGGCTACAAACTGCGGGATTCAAGTCGGACCAACGAAATTCCAATTAATGAAAATGGGACCAGCCCGGGGAGAATCGAAGGGGAGCGAAACAGGCAATAAAATTATGCAAACAGCAGGTGTTGTCCATTAGCTTTTCCAGCGTTTTGCTGCAGTCGCCAATTTGGGTCATTAGCAGGTGTTGTCATCTCTGCCAATTTCCTTTTTATGGCCATGTTACCCCGACAAGCCGGCACAACCACAAACTTCGCCTCGAGCTGTGCGCAACCAATCAAAGTTATTAAAACAAAAGAGGAGCATAAGAGTTTTTTATGTTTTTTAGGGAGTGGAACGGGTGCTTTCGAAGTGTAGAAAATTTAATTAACTGCTAAATTAAATACACTTTTCGGCATGCTTCTCGGTTTGTTCTAACCCTGTTCTTTTGGTTATTTTTCTGGCTTTTTGTTTTCTGTGTTTCCCCAAAGAATGGCGAACTCCGCACCAGAACGGGCACGAACTACTCGACGACCACCACCCGCAATGGAGCGTCCAGTTTCGGGTGGTTCTCATTGTTGATGTTGCTGCTGTTTTTGCCGCTGTTGCCGCTGTTGCCACTGTGGCCGCAGTGCGTCGGAAGTTGTCGCCGGCAATCAACAAACCATAACGCACAACAAACAACGGTACTCCGGCCGCCGTGCCAAACTGCCAGGGAAACATTTAACGCCGCTTGCCCGCCCGCCACTTGCATCTCTTTCGCCCCCTCGGATGGCATATTCTAAATAGAAAGAGAGGTGAATAAAAGAAATTCATTAGAAATTTCTTTACCTCAGCGCTCAACAAATTAGCCCAAGCTTGATAAGTGGCTGCAAAGAAAATAGAACCTGAAAATAATTAAAACCACAAATAGGTGCCGAGGCCCACAAATTGTTCCAAATGCATATATTAAAAATGTTAAAGGCGTATATCAGAAGAAGATATAATGAAGAAAAATAAATTAATTTACTCTAAAGATAGTCCCAATTAGTTCAAATAAATGACATAGTAAAATGCTAGAAATATCGTGTTTTATTTAAAAAGAGAATTAATAGTCGATTACGTTTAACGTTTGTTTAAAAAGATATTATAAATAAATTCAAAATTAGCTATCATTATTTAATTTTATAAGACATCAAATTCAAATAAATAATTACAAAAATAAAACGTACCCAAAATGGATTGATAAGCCAATATTAATAAATAAAAACAATCAATTAATTTTAAAAGGTCAGTAAAGAAAATATTGACTACATAATTGAAATGTAGACTGTAATGCGTATTTAACTTTTTATATCTAACTATTTATATCTATCTTTCTTATTACTTTTTTCATACTAAATAAAGAAGTTGTACCTATTAATATTCTTATAACTTTTTTCTTACTAAACAAAGTAGTTGTACCAATTAATATCAACAAGTTTGAAAAATGCACACATAAATATTTAATTATATTTAATGGCAAACATTTTAGGATAACAAATAAAATAAATTAACATATTTTGGCTTTGACATCGGTTTAAATTGTCCATTGTTTTCGTTTGTCCGTTTCCCCAAAATTTATGGTTTAGTTCAATATCTGAGCTTGCTTAAAACATGATAAAGTTTTAAGTTTAAAGTTTTAAATGTTCTACAATAATTGAACTAAAATTAAAGTTAAGTAGCCACTCTAAAAACATTACAGCATGAAATTAAAATGATATAGCATAGGACATCTGGCAATATCAAAATTATCGATCGTAATGAATAGTTTTAGCTCGCTTTAAATTGTCCATTGTTTTCGTTTATCAATTTCCCGGCCATAAGCTGTCAATTTTATGGCCAAAAGCGGCGCTTCTCTTTATGAGTTTCAACACCCATACCCATTCCCCAAACATTTTCCCCCTGTCTGCCCAACGCACTAAAAATAAATTTATGTTGATGATTTTGTGTGCGGCGGCCTATTGCCATAGTCAGAGTAGGAATTTTGTAGCCAAAGTCATGGACATGGCCGTTTGCTGGCGGCGCACGCAGACAGAGAGCCTCAAATTGGAGTTTGGAGCTGAAGTTGGGAGCTTCTATGTATATAGTATATCCACCGAGGAGAGGCAGACAATGCAGCTCGGACCGCGGTCATTGGACTGCTGCCCACCCAAAAAGGCGGCACTAAATTGCTTTGAAATGCCGTTAGAACAATAATTGCGCGCACACCATACTGCCAACATATGATTGGAGCGTGCAGATAGAAGAGCCTTTGCCAATTTATTGAGTTGTAAAATTTGGCGGGCGGCTGCAAGGAGTCCGAGTGCGAGTGCCGCTGAGTGCAGTGTGCAGTGTTCAGTGTGCAGCATATTAAAAATAAATAAATTAAAAGATGTAAGCCGGACCCGGACGGAGGCTGAGCTCATTAGAGGCCAGCAGGCCAGCAGATGGGAGGGACCAGATGGAGTAGAGCTGCGAGAACAGAACGCAAACTGAGGTTTCGCCCCTGCCCTGACTAATTGGATGGGAAATTCACACGAAAACCTATGCAGCACTACCTTAGAAACTATGAAGAACATTTTGTTGAATATGGATTATAAATCATATTGCGATGTTTATGGTTAATAAATTTTGAAGAAGAATTTTAACTGTAATAATAAATAATTGTGAAAAAAAACTAGATCTCATTATTATTATTTAAAGTTGTTTAACTGCAATAGAAAATATTAAAAATAAAACACTAATAGTTTTTTTAAAGATCTACAAATGACTCAGGCTTTTATTGGGAAAATAGAAATCAAAATTTTCAAAATTGATTTGTTATATATTTGGAAATCAGTGTTTGAACTTTAGGAATAGATAAAGGCATTTTTACTTTTTTTGTTATTTAAGGAAGAGTTGGGAATCTGGCTTTTAAATGCATTTGTTGCCAGTGCACCTTTACTGCTGCTGCTTTTGGCAGAGACAGTGACGAATGCCACTTCCTTATTGCAAGGTCAGTTGGCAGCATGCTGCACTCCGGGAATCCCCTCCCACAAACTCTGGTGGATGCCACTGCAACTGCAACTGCATTGATTGATGCTCTGCCAGCTGCCGTTAGTCGCCGATTTGGCCGCCAAAGGAGCAAATGCAAAACTTCACACCAAATTGGCAGAGCCTAATCTGTCCCAGACCCACGGACCAG